AATAATAATAATAATAATAATAATAATAATAATTTATATTTATATTCTATTTATATAGCGCTCATATCCTAAGCTCTTGGCGCTTTGCAACACTGTGCGGGGGAATTTACCAGACTGCTAAGCAGTTTACAATCGATTAAAGGTAAATCTAACGATGCCCCCTCCCCCCAATTTCCAGTAAACACATCACAGTAACTAATTAATAGATGCAGGAGACGGGACCTACGGTTTATTCGTCCCTATACGCGAAGACTAGAATGTCTATCAATTTCTTGATGTTATAGAAAGGTAGCACATTCTCCTCAGTTATTTTAAGACCCTGAGTGTTGGTCCGGCGGGGGTTTGAACCATTAACCTCCCGCACAACAGTCCGACAGTCAAGCAATTGAGCTAACCGGGAGGCGGACAGGAAACCTTGATCGGAATAAAACCTCAAAATAGCTATACTACATGAGAAAACTTGTTTGCACGCTAATTTTCTTATAGACGACGTCTTTTCTGGGGATGTAAAAGCTAATGTTAGCTAACAGAGGACTAAATCGCTGAAAGATCCAGAATATGCAACATTACTTAACCACAACGACCTAGAGATTGAGACCTACAGATTCACAAGCATATCATAAACTGGGCCGGATTTTCTAGGAAAGTAATGCTGTAATTTACTCGTGTATATTTTCCCATGTTTTTATTCCGAGGGTCTCTTTTCTACGTTTCGTTGAGGACGGAGTGTGAAGCTGACTTAGATAATTTTCCTGTAACTAGCCATTGAGTGCAATTTTTGCTTACTGTTCACTTCTTAAAATAGCCATATACCGCAGCATAAATATCATGATAATGTAGACCAGTTCCGTCGTTGGGTTAAGGTCTTGGAGAAGGTACCGGACGTACGCTATGGCTAAATGCCCGGAAGCTGGGCACCGTCTTAAATAGACTAAATGCCCGGAAGTCGGGCGTTTTCATCGAATTTCTTTTTAAAGGTTCTTTCAAAGTTGTTAAGAATATCAGATGTTCGTTTAGAATGTCAAGCAATTCCAACAATATATCTGTTTTTTTTTAGTGGACGAGTTCTGCCAGCTTGTGCACTTTACAATATTTATCGGTTGTCGACGCTTATAAATTTTTTATTTTTTTACGGCACACGTCTACGCCTAAAATTCAAACTTAATATATTATGTATTCTTGTTGATACAATAACCTTCAGACCCCAAAATCACACACAGAACGCTTGGGCGGCCTTTGCATAATTCACGTTCCTACAGAATCATTTTTCAGCCCCGACGACGAACTGAAGACACTTTAGTTGCTCAGTCTAAATCAAAAATATCCGTAAACGATAATTGCCTCAAATTGTCTAGTTAAAGATTGAAAAATCTTCCCCATGAATATCATCGTTCCCTTCTTGGAAATGCCAGAAGTCGTGTGTAACCATGCATGGAGAGCGTGGCGCAATACTCGCAAACAGGAAGTCGACTGAATCTCGCAGAAATCCTTGAATTTTACAATATCATACATTAATTATAAGATTAATCGTCTTAATAGTCCATTTTACAGTTGTGTGCTTGGTTGCCAAGCCTTTGAATGGGAGTGAGGCTAGGGTTGACCTTGTTATGATACAAACCTTGCTGCCTTTCAAGTGTAAATCACTTTGTTATCATGCTAAGTAGATACAGGTCTCTATCACAACAAGGTCACCTTCAGCCTCACTCTGAATCAAAGGCTTGGCAACTAAGTACACAACTGTAAAATGGCCTATTCAGCCTCTAAAGTATGTCCAAGAAGATAGCACAAGGATCAAATCTGATTGCACATTCAAGCTTACATTTGCAGCAAAAAGGCAGGCTTTGAGTGGAAGAGTTTTGGGATTGAAGAGCCACATTTTAAAGAATTTAGACTGCAAGTTAGTTTCACTGCCTGACCAGTTTACAGGTGTTTTGAGAGGTTACATGACTTGTATTTTCAAAGATTTCTTTTTTAATGATAAGTTATTGCTCACAGACAATCACTGATGGTTTTGATACCTTGACGGTCCTTAAAACACTTGCCAACTGCTAAGAATCTTCTTCTGCCGACACTTTTCTCCAATTACAAGCTACATGTATTATCTTGGTATTGTAACAATTCTAATAAAACTTACTCTGAGAGCAAGGAGAAATTCGTCAAAGTCTATAACACCACTGCCATCCTTGTCAAAGGCACGAAATAACTCTTGTAATTCCTGATGAAATATCACAGAGTAAATATCAAACAAAAGCTACCTTTACAAGGAACCATTTCCATCACACATGATAAACTTTACACCATATGTTGCAGATTCTTAATTCAATGATTCTTATGAGAAGAAAACATTGGTGATATCATCAGTAGTAGTCTTTGAGCTCCCTAACATAATGTTTGCATATTATCTACAAAGGTTCTATTCTGTAATACTACAGAATATGTTCTTGCCGACTGATTGGGAGAGCCAGTCTATAGAATATCTGGGTGAAGGTACATGTATAAACTGAGTGCAGCAGGAGGCACACGTGATAAGCAAGAGCCAAAAATTTTCATGTCCTGCCCAAACTGACTCTGTCATTAAGTACAGGTGGTTGTGCATTTTTTCGAACCACTGCTGTTCTTCTGAACGAGTTCCAGGTTCGAAGCAGTACAATTCTTCACAAATTTAACTCATTTAATTTAACGAAAATAACAAGCTACATCAGTAAGACAAAACAACATGGCGGTCATCTGACCTCATGGTCAAACTAGTTCCCAGTCCTTCTAAACAACTGCTTCTCATCATCCTTTTTCATTTCATCTTGCAGTTTGCAGCACACAGGAGCATGTGGCTTTTTCTAACCCTGCCTGTATTATATCGCACTGCCCCCAAATATGAAGGGATTTTTCTGCAATGCTTCCTTATAAATGAAAGTAGAAGTGGTCTGGCTGTTTGTGTCATAAAATAACTTTGCATTATTGATGAACTGTCAAGTCAAGAAGGCTTGATAATGACCAACCTTAATTCCAAGTGTCAAGAGGAATTCGAATAAACAATGGACAGCATTCCCTGCCATCATGGATTTTAACTCTCTTAGTCAAGCAATTGGGCAATCCGTTAATCTTGATATTTTTAAACGTAATCTTTTAAATTTGTGACTTAAATGTATTTCATACCATGTTATTTTTAAATCTGTGATCCAAATGAATTTAAGTTAATGTGGTTTTTTTTTTGGATTTTTTACATATTTTTAATTTTAATGTGCAAATGGTTTTTTTGTATTTTGTATTTTTTTTGGAGAACCTTTTTGAAAACCATATTTTATATGAAAAAGTCATCTCAATAAAGATTATTAGTATTAATATTAATTTTTTCAATTTTATTGCTATTTAGACTGCTGCAAGAGAAATTATAGTCATTTTAAGCAGGTTGTGTGGTATCAAAGCTGTCAAGATGGGCTCATATTGTCTGCTCTCGTAGCCAATCGGATCACAGGATTCTCTTAGATTGTCATCTTGAGATGTTGGCCATAAAATGAAGTCAATCATTTCTCTTTCGTAAAATCATCATTAAATTTTAAAACAAAGTTTGAGTGGCTGTGTATGACAGCCTTTCAAGTAGTTTAACTTAAATAGTTTTACAAAGGAATTACAAAATGTGAATTTATAGAAAATCCCGAACAGGAATTGCTTCTCAAGATAGGGGCGAACCAAAGTACCTTAGGATCCAAATAGAGGCCATATTCACGCATCCCCTTCTTGAATTCTGAGAAGTCTAACGACCTGTTTCTGTCATCATCCATTATTCTGAAAACTCTGAAAGAGAGAGAGTGGTACAGTCAGCGTATGTTGCATGCACAACGTCGACGATTTTAACGACAGACGCACCTCTCCCTAGTTAAAATTCTGTAACAACTACATCGATATTAAAAAATTTGGCTGTATAAGACTTCTTTGATCGACATCTGTCTCATTATACAATTAAGCAGTACTGTACAAAAAGTATTTTCCGGGAAAAAAAAACTGTTTATGCTACAAATTTTAATCTGGGGATGTTCACATATGACTAGTAAACTCCGTTTATTTGATCATTGTTCGCGTCAGTAGTAGCTATTGTGACTTAAATAGAACCACTTTTTGAAAAACGTAGGCTTAAGAAGAGAACGTGAAGTTCTACAGCTTTACCCTCAAAAGCCAATTGAAATACTAGAACGGCAGATGCAGGTTGAAATTGATTATCTACGTTTCGATCGATCATACCTTCCAATTCCCTTAATGCCCGCTGAACCTCGACTGAGGCACTGTAGTCTCAAACGTTCAATCGGATCTTGAGAACCTTTAGAATTCAGTAGTTTTTTACATTTCTGTCTCATTTGTGCATCCGACCTGGATGTCGCAGCCATGTTTCAATCTATTGTGCGTAACAAATATGGCGCCCTTTGCTATTCACGAAGGCTTTATTATTCCGTTACCCTGACAACGAACTCATACAGTCCAGTCTCTTCACGAAAAAAAAAAACCGTGGGCGCAGGAAAAAGCATATAATTATTCTATTTTCACTCAGTAAACAAATAGCCAATCAAAACAAAACGGAATGAAAAAACAAAAAAGAAAAGAGACAAATCAAAAAAAGAGAGAGAAATAATGACCCAAAGACAATCATAAAAAGATAGAAAAAACTCAACTATTTCACATAAGACAACCCTGATTCCGCGTACAGTATAAGCTCTTAAAGTACCGTTCAATAAAAAGGGGCGAACATGATATACCATATATCAACCATACACAGGGCCTATCTGCATTAGCAAAGTAGTTGTTTGCGTAGACAAAATTTTGCCCGGGGCGAATAGATTTTTAAATGCACCGCCGACAAAATTTAACCGGGTTAAAACGAGACAAACTTGAAAACCGTATCATTTGTATGTCGTTTGCAAATTAAAGTTGCCACCAGCAGCTTTAATTTGAACTAAGTAGAGTTCACCCGGAAGGCGGTAATTGCCTTTTGTTGCTAAACTCGTAGATTTTAAAACTTCGAAAGGACTGAGGTTGAATCCTAGCAAATAGAATTTAAATCCATTGGCAAACAGTGACGGCTTGTCTTCAGAGCGGATCAAGCGCTGACCGAATTTGTCAGCTTTGAAATTTTTAACGAGGATGCCACAGATGAGAAATGAACTGTCATGCATAATGAAATATGGGGCTGGAAGGAATCCTTGCCGCAGTGTATTTTGTGAAACGAAATTCCAATTACCGAAGACTTACCTTCCGAACTCGAGAATTCCATTCGCTCCGCGTGATAAACATTCCGCCCTCAGAGATTCCATTGGGTCTTGGTTTTCTGAATGGCTGTGCTCCGCTGCTTTCCGCATTGACTCTTTATTCCCCCTGTTTGTGATCATCGTATTTAACCTGAAAAAATAGCGACTCTCGCACTATTCTTCACTGAAACAAGTATTCAGACCTGTCTATGGCAGAGGATTGTCTTTCTCAGTGGTAATCTCACGAAGGAGCTGACACAGAAAATACGAGAAATACTAGAATTATTATGATCGTGAACCTCATTGGATGAATTATTCACAAGAAAAACAAAACAGACAAAACAGAAAAAACAAACAGGTGTTAAGACAGAACAAAAGGCGAAAGAATATTTCGTTGTCTTGCGTGGGGGCTCACACAGAGGAATATTCAGTCTTTTTATTCAAGTATAGTAATTGGGTTTGAAATGATTTCCGTGCAACAGAAGAGATACAATCTACTGGGAATCCAAAAGTGTTGTTTGGGATAAGTTAATTACCCTCCCTTCCCCTTCCAAAAATACTTTTTGACCGTTTGTTCCAGTCGCCCCCGACCAACTTAAGTCGGTAAAATTAACGCAAGTAAGCTGACATCGATTAAAACAAACAAAATAGAACTCGAATTCTTCTGTGCAAAAAAAATTTACATTTTAATCGCCTTAAGTACATTATTTTACAAAAGTATGAATAAAAGTATCTAACATACATTCAAGCATTCCTAACGATGTTCGACGCATTCAAAAGAAATAATACAAAAATGATTCCACAAAAGTATTCAGTATAAAATCTGGAAAATGAGAATGAAAATTCAAAAATAGCCATAAATTTTGCTTGATCCTATCTTAATAAATACAGTAACGAAATAATTTCTCCGCATCACACGAATTCAAATCGTTTCAGCATGTCAAATAAACTTATCTAAACAAAAGTCGAGCGATCTAAACAGCAGCTTGGAAGCCATTCTAACTATGGTGACGCGTCTTTTCACCTGTGCTTCTTTTCAAGAGCATACAGTACATCATCTTGATTGACATTCAAACGTATTCTCTGTTCTAGATCACGACGGCCAGCCTCCACAAGAAGTAGTTTCCAAGCCCCCAATCGACAACAAACTCCCGCGGCTTGAGATGGTGTCGGTGTGGAAAGACCTGGTGCGAGAAGATCAACGGGGGAGAGTCATTGACAGGGGAGTTTAAGATGGCAACGTACAACTACAACTAGAAGAAGGGAATGCGTTATCGCTCTCCCCAAAAACAATTATATCAAGCTCGGAAAAAACAGGTGTCAAAGTGCGGTAAAACTCATAGGGTAGAGTCAAGTGATTTTTGTATTCTTCCTGATTGGTTAACAAAGAGGTTATGTCCTCTTGACTGGCGGTATCGTGTCGCTGCAATATGGACGAAAACGTGACTTACCCTCAATACGACAAAAATCGAGAAGTTGCTGGAAAACCTTAAATGAAAAAGATACAAAAATATATTTGTAAACGTGTTTACGAACCCGGTTTGGAAACTCTCACTTATACACCTGTGTGTAACAATCCATGAAGTGTTCCTCCCCTGCCTTGGCCTAACTCCAAGAACGCTTACCATCATGGAGGGTGCGTTAGTTACCCTTGGACTAACCCCTGGGGTTACTCCTCGGGTTAATCTTTCGGGTTACCCCTTCAGGCTGCCCCAGAGGCGTTAGTTACCCTTGGACTAGCCCCTAGGGATATTCCTCAGGTTAAATCTGTGGGTTCCCCCTCCGGCTACCCCAGGTATTTTCACAGATTTCACAATGAGTTCGCTTTGGCTCACTTTTATTCATTGGTCGAAGAGAGGCGCTGTGAGAGTACAGATTCTGCACAAGGAAATTAAGCAATGACCCAGAAAGAGCCCTGTTTAAAGCGCATCTCTTAATTAAGAGTTCAGTCATCATAATATATAACTTAATACGACATGGTCACGATTTTGGCGAAGTTAACTACTTTTTGATGCACCACGCTGTAGGGATTTCATACTCTTCATCTATCTCTCATTTAATTTTGGCATCACCCGTGGAGATCTTGAAATGAAAGTAACTGTCTCACCGACTCGTATGCGAACGCAAATAAGCGAGATACAAGAAAAAGTAACTTTAAGACATATCGAACAAGCCTGGCGAAACACCTGCTAGCTAGAAAAAAAAACTCACATCTCCAAACGTTGCCTCTTCCAGTCCTGAACTACGAAACTCGGCAATAACCGACTTCAGAAACAGACCCTCCATTTGTGTTAAGCATCTGGAATAAAGGAAAACGTTAAAAACTGTCAAAAAAAATCAAAACATTTAAAGAAATCCTTTGCAAATACATGGGCAAGATCACTACCTAAAAGGTATTTCAGCAAACTGGTTTAAAGAAGCAAAAGCTATCACTCAATTCCAAGATTTAAAGAAATAAAATTATTAAACAAAAACACAGGTTCTTGAACTATTTCTGTGCTTGGTTCAGTAGATCGGAGCATTTCTTTCACTTCTCTTAGTAGGAAGCATTCCTCTTCCACTCCGATTTTGGGCGTGGCTCTCTATGGCCTTCCACCCAGCCCTACAAAACGGCCCCTTACTTCATGGCTCGTATCTTCGGCGATGAAAACATATCCTGCAATGCAGCGTCCACGTGACTCATTCCAACCAACGCTGTTCCTTTCTTCTTGGATCGCGAGTCAGCGATCTCTACTGCCCTGCGGCAGATGTCTAAGCAGCGGCGCGCATCACCGGAAACAGCTGCCACCTGTAAAATATATCCAGAGAAAAGACACAATGAAAAAGTACATAAAGCACTTTTATGATATGTTTAATCTTTCACTTCTACTTGCGAATCTGACAACCTGAATAATATGGATATATCAACAAAGTTGAAATGGTAAATTGGCCACCGTAACGATTACATAAGCTGACGTTTCGAGCGTTAGCCCTTCGTCGGAGCGACGAATAATAATCGACGAAGGCTTAGGTGTAATCGAATCAAGAGGAGAAATTTCAAAGGTCCGATTTTTCTAACTCCGATTTCCAATTTCACTCAATCAAAGACGCTCAACCTCATTTTACATGCTCAGAACAACGCAAGGCTTTCCCTATGGTACGCCTTTCTTGGAGCAAGCGATCCGTTCGACGCATGCGTATAGGATTGTTTCTTTACCTTTCTGGAGACCAGCTGTATCGCATCCGGTTCAAAAGCGTTTAAACCCATGATGCGAGACATAACAATCTCCTGTAGCTGTGAAAATGTGTAGGGCTGAAAAGTCAGTCGAGTCAGTCCCTGAAAAGAAAGGAAAAAAATTCAACAGACCCCATCTACGACAATGCAGTGTGAAACATGAAATCTGCTTAACCCTTTGACCCCTTGGAATGATCAGCATCTAATTTCTCCTTACAATATCACCCCCGATTCAAACTTTAAGGTCAGGAGAATATAGAAAATGATCACCAACTAAAGAAGCTCTTGATTGTTAAACAAATTCTCCTTGTCAGCACCTTAGGAAATGTATAGAGAACGGTATGGAGAATATGCTTACTGATATTAGGGTATTACGGGTTAAACCGTGATACACCAATACTACGCTCAATAGTTACTGCTTCAAGCATGCGATCTTTCGTTAGAAAATAATTTTGGTACTTATTTCCCTGACGAGAAAATATTTAGCCCAAGGTCATGACGCCCTAACCAAGCGCAGCCAGGCCCGCACTTCACGACCTCGAGCCAAATAATTTCCTTTCCGACCTGACGTAAATCGGTGGCGGAAGGCCGAACAAACCTTTGGCTAAGATTGTATTTTGCAACTCAGCGATGTTCTTTCGGTATCAGTTTGAGTACTTTTATTATCTATACTCCTTCAAAAGACGTGTAGGATAGCTGGTCTACACTGTTATACATACATTTTCAAAGGAGTACTGAAAGTAATTCAGGATTGATTCGCTTTGGTTTTGTCATGGTATACGATTGGTTCAAAAAACTCATGCCCCTCTCCGGCTCAAGCAATCAGATGCAGGATCTGGACCAATCACACCTTGTCACTCATATTTTCCCGCGCATTTTTCCGCCAAACGCATGTTTCCACCTGAGTTCTAATTGGCTTCAAGCAGTCTTTACTTGTATTCTGACTGGCAGTTGACACTGACTACTTTGAGTTTGTTTTAGGACACTCGATCAAAGAATCGCTGTCTTTTGAGCAAATGAAATGAATCTACAACTCACCAAGCGACTTGAGACTCGCTTCATCATAATTCGTTCCGGTAGATCCATGGTATTAGCAATGGCGAGAACAATCAGCCGGGAATGTCTCCGTGTCGGCCATTCAAACAAGTTGTACAGCACGTGTTGTTTACGTGTCCAAAACAGGTCTAACTGAAAACGAAAGGAGACAATTCAACAAATCACTCAGTCTTGGGCTTTCGCGGTAAAAGATGCCAGTGTCGCCCTAAAAACGACAGAGGATTGACAGCAGGTCTAGTAAAGCAAATATTTTGACTTATACCTCATCCACCAATAAGACAACAGGATCCCTGTTAGGTACTAGTGTACTGAACCGTTTATCCAACAGATTAGAGGCGTGTTCGGGTGTGGCCTTCTGTCCTGTGAGCAGCTACGAACAGTTAAAAAATCCCCCCGTAAGCTTTTAACTTTAACATGCAACGATAATTAATACTACAATCTTTGCCAAAAATAATGTAGCATTTTCCAATTGAACGTTGGCAAATCAGAGCAGTGGAAAATATTAAAGGGAGCCAATAGGATCCCAAAGAAAAACTAGAGACTGTAAGTAGGTCCTCATTTCCAGTGCTTCAGGACGCGTATTTCTCCTCCCGCGGAAGATCTGAGACGAGTCGGGAAACATCTCCGGAAATCTGGCACTAGACTCCTTACAGACCGCTGACCGGCTCGCATTGCTCAAGCTTCATACTTTCGCACGAGCGAAGAAACGCTAATAATGAGTTCTTCTGCTCGCAGGCTACTGGCGACTGATCTTAAGCACGGAAGAAGGGGAGTAACAAAGTCAAGATTGATTCTAGTTCGGCAGCTGATTGGTTGAGAGAAGGGCGTGAGTTTTCTAAACCAATCACACCACACTGCGAGGCAAAACTAATTATTTCTTAATCACTTTTGACACTGGATGGATATTTTATTTTACTAATGACCACAAAGCCAAAAGTCACAAACCTTAAAGAAGGTGGAGTAGGCCTGGGCTGGTTCTGTGAGCTTCATTCCATTTATTTCCACAAACGTGAATTCCCGCTGGTCTTCATCTTCTTGTATACTGCGTAATACTTCATGCACAGTGGCTGTTTTTCCAGTCCCCGGGACTCCAGAGATATACATGCAACTACACTCACATAGAATAGGAGAAAAAAAAATTCAAACAAACCACAGTCAAACGGGATTAGAGTAATTTTCAAGTGAGTGTCGAAAGTAATCCGGTAATGTTTTACTTTTACATAGTTTCTTCTATGTGATTGGTCCAGAAATCTCGCGCCATCCTATAACCCATTCAGATGCAAAACTAAAAACAATCACGACTCGGTCACTCGCGTTTTCCCGCGCTTCAAGCAGTTTGCTTGTTTTCACGTCGAGTTCTCATTGGCTAATGATAAGGTAAAGCCTTGTTCTGATTGGTCACTGGGATAACATTGGTTTGGTTTTTCGATACTTAATTGAAAACTGCTCTAAGACCAGGCTCCGGTTGTTCATAGGGCGGATAACGCTATCCCACGGATAAATCGCTATCCCACGGATAAATCGCTATCCCACGGATAAATCGCTATTTCACGGATATATCGCTATCCAGCGGATAAGTGTTACTAAAACGTACTGCACTATCCACCGGATAGAGATTTATCCAGTGTATAGCGTTATCCATCCTTGGAACAACTGGGGCCAGATCCTTTGAGGAGTTCGCCAGCTTTTTTGTACTCATATCAATCGCGATAAACTAGTTGTAAAAGGTCAATACCCGAATGCGATTTGTTTTAATCTTATCAGCTTTGGCAATACCACCAGTTTTTGTCTTCTTAGAGTTCTTCGTAATCTTAAATTAGTGTTTTACTTAATTCCAAGCGCAGTTAAATCGTGCGCAATAAAACAACGTAAACTAGCCATCACCTACCCTCCTGTCCCATCCTCAAGTTTCCCCTCAACAAAGTTATAGATATCTGTAAACTCCTTTTCACGACAAGGAAGAGACGAAGGAACTGCTGACACGTGCAGTCTGAAAGTAAAAACGAAACACATGACATACAAACCAACAGGGAGAGTTTCAGATAGTCTCAAAAAACCTGAACCACTGTCAACATGCATCTTGCGTTTCATACATGAGCCTCTGGCTCGAATGTAAAGGCAACCTAACATTCTACATCATGCCAGACAGAAATTGATTGATTGATCAAAACAGCCGATCCGAATAAAGAAAATATCACAGGAAACCAATGAGAACACAAAGCAAAAACGAACATCCAGTCAGAAGAGCGGAAAAACGCGGGCAGTAAAGTCGCTGTTGGTTTAAGATTTGCATCTGAATGGTTGAAAGGAGGGCACGAGTTTTTCAGACCAATCATGAAGCGACGCTAAGCAAAACTAGTACAACTCTGCATGGCTCGGACAGTAAATTTCACACTTCTCTGGAGAACAGACCTTCCTCTGAAGCTACCACAGCAATCTAACTGGACTACAAAACAAGGGGGTAAGTTTCTAAAGCACAGTGGTGCTGCATCTGTGGGGGTATTAAAAGATAATCTGATTTTATCATCAGAGTTGATGATGTGACTTGGCCACCACAAAAAGATTGTAGAACGATAGAGTCGTTAGCGGCCAATTCACCTAAATAATCTGAGATTGCTTTGGTTTAGCGTTACTTCGGTTTGTAATTGGTCCAAAAAACTCGCGCCATGCTCTCGACCAATCAGACGCCAAACAAAGACCAATCGTGACTTGGTCGCCTTCGTTTTCCCGCGCTTTTGGTACTTTGCCTGTTTTTACTTTGATTCCTCATTGGCTAGTGATGACGCAAACCTTTGTTGTGATTGGCTGATGTGATTACTTTATTTTTGGTTTTTTTTGACAGTCAGTCAATAAAACTTTATTATCTTGAACTATGAAACAAAGACCTACTTTTTCCTGGCCATTTCAAGAGGTGTTCCCGGTATTTTACAGGGCTGTTGCCTCTCAGGAATACTTGGTGTCTTCACTTTCTTTTGAGATGGCTGCCTACTGATGTTTATGGCTGGTGTCTTTGGCGTTTTTCGCGCAGTCTTTGGAGTTTTTGACTGTTTCTGTGCTGGGGTTTTTTGAGGTGTTTTGTGTGACGATTTCACTCTAGCTAGAGTTTTAGCTGTAGGTTTACCTATGGGTAAGTAAAAACAACTTTGAATCAATAATAAAAGAATTGATCAAAATTCTTTAAAGCTTGCAGGTATATCGTTAGTGTTCAAAGTCCAGGAATTTTGTTTCTAGAGGCCTTCCAAAATAACCCTTAATGAACCCATACCCCACCTCCCCCCTTTCCCCTTCACTCGCAATTACACACACAAAAAAAGGAAGATAAAAGCAGCCAGTGAAGTAGTAATAGTAAGGCAAGTTGTGGCAAAACCCAAAGGTCTGATATGGAGGGGAGGGTGGAGGATTGACACTCCCTCTGGATACCCCAATGTGACCTTACCCTTCCCCTCTATCCAGAGTAGGTCAATGTTCACTCTAAAATTTTCCTCCCTTCCAACAGGAGGCTTCCTAGCTTGCTTAGTAGTGATCAACTAGTATCTCAGAGGCACAGGTTCAAAACATCAGGCATCTTTCCTGATATTACTGAAATTGAAGTCCACCTGCCAAGATCATTTCTCTACTTGACACCTGAATTTTCCACATAATGCACATTGTTGGCATGGAATCTCCAATTATTACAATATAAATGTGATAAACAATGTTATTATACAAATAATCATTACCCTTAGGTGTGTCCTGTATTGCTGTGAATGTACTCTTGCTCTTGGAGGATGACCTCAGTGTTCTTATTGGTGTGCATGTACCTTCACCTTTTGAAAAAAAATGATACAAGCATTGTTGATGATAATACATAACAATGAAGTCCTGTAGCTCCTCAAAGCTCCAAATTTAAGAAATCAAAATATTACTTCTTGTTTTACCAATCTTTTCCACAACCCAATCACTATCTTCATTGCTTTCATCATCCCTGTCACTGTCATCTGTTAAATCACTGACATTGCTTGGATGAAACACATCATCATCATCATCATGACTAATTTCATCATCATTATCATCCTCATCATTATCATCATCATCATTGACAACATCGCTACATCTTGATTCACTCTCAAGAACTTGTTCAAGGACTTCTGCTGTACCTATTGAAATATACACACTAAGCTCTTATAATCAATGATATCACATATATAGTCAAACAGACATAGGAGTTGGAGGCCACAAATCTGAGCTCTGAAGATTCTTCGATTTTGCATCAATGTGAAAACCCTCTCTTTCATCCCCCCCTCCCATCCATACAATTCACCTTTCTATCTTGACAAATAGATCCCCCACCCCCACCCTATATCATATATACTATATTCAAAGATTTTTTTGGAAACATCAAATAACACACTGAAGTAGCGAGTGAATCAATAACTGAAAAGAAACTAGGGGTCTTGAAATCTCACCTTCTCAAATAATCGGGGCTCAACACTAACGGTAGCCCACAAGCCACTGGCTAATAGAAATTCAGTTTTGGCCAATGGTTTTCAATTTCCACCAGCCAGTTTGGTTAGTAAACAAACTGCAATTGTTGTAATTATATCTAATGTCACTAGTCTCTTGACTAGTAAGTTGAAATGTTAGTGTTGAGCCCTAAATAATGCACTGTCATGTACTTGTGCACATCTTGGAGCACAAAAACTTTTGTTATGAGGTCTAAGATTTTCAAACCCAAGTTTCAGCAACACAGAAAGTCACAGACCTACCAACAAATAACTTTGTAATAAACAAAGGAACATACCATATCTCTGCCTTGGAGATAAAAATTGTTCTTTTGTTTTCCTTGTACTTTGAAGGCCTTTTTTTCTTTTAGGTGTCACTGAAGATTCATCTGGAATACTGCCGCTTGCTCTTCTTTTCAAAGAAGCCCTGCTTTCTCTATTAAAGACCAATGGCTCTATAGACACCATGCACTTCTTGGCAATTGTCAATTTCTTTGTTGACTTAGGAGTTTTCTTGTTTGTCTTCAAAGTGGAATTATCTGCAATCACAATGAATGTTGAAGCTTAAGCAATGTTTTGTAGTTTGGGTTACAGCCATACTCAAAAGTAGGAATTTGCTTCGGCTGCCTAAAAAAAATGGGAAATTTGACTGTCTAATTAGTGGATGGCTACTTTAAGCTTTGGAAGAAAAAATTAATTTTTACAAATCTCATCTTAATCAGATTACGGTTTTTATGTACAAATTTAAAAACCAACTTCTTCCCATTAATTTTTAATATTTTTTTCACTTCAGTCAAAGAAACCCATAATTATAATACAAGGCTTTCCTCTAGAATGACTTAGGCTCTGCCAAAGACAAGAACAAACTATGGTATCTTTAATATTAGATATCAAGGCGCTAAGGTTTGGAATGCAATCAATGATGACATTAAGCTTCTATCAATTTAAGAAAAAGTTAAAATTATGTATTCTTGCAAGTTACTAACTGACTTAATTATGTATGATGCACGATCCTCGCAGTAGATAGCGCTATTTAAGCAATAGCGAAAATCAGACCTGAAAAAAATCAGGCCTGTACGGGACTCGAACCACTGACCTCTGCGATACTAGTGCAGCGCTCTTACCAATTGAGCTAACAAGCCAACTGAGAGCAGGCCGTTAAGTTGATTCGTAATGAACCCGTGAAAGTGATAAATGAGATAGAATAAATATATGAAAATCATATATTTTGAACTGCGGTATTTGATACGTATGATGCACGATCCTCGCAGTAGATAGCGCTATTTAAGCAATAGCGAAAATCAGACCTGAAAAAAATCAGGCCTGTACGGGACTCGAACCACTGACCTCTGCGATACTAGTGCAGCGCTCTTACCAATTGAGCTAACAAGCCAACTGAGAGCAGGCCGTTAAGTTGATTCGTAATGAACCCGTGAAAGTGATAAATGAGATAGAATAAATATATGAAAATCATATATTTTGAACTGCGGTATTTGATACGTATGATGCACGATCCTCGCAGTAGATAGCGCTATTTAAGCAATAGCGAAAATCAGACCTGAAAAAAATCAGGCCTGTACGGGACTCGAACCACTGACCTCTGCGATACTAGTGCAGCGCTCT